CTATAAACTATACAGGAATTTGTAGTTTCTGTTTCAAATCAGGATACATATCTTGCAGGAGATATAAAAAGTGTCCCAGTGGCCTTTTATCACCTAACGCTTCAGCTCTTGACGACAGACACTGTTTATAATTATTCTCTGTCAGCGAGGCTTTCGAGCAGCTCCTCTTATGCCATCTATGAATAAGACCAACGTCTGGAGCTCTCAGAACCTCAATACGACTCTTTAAAACTTTTTGAAAGAGGTCCACGTCCTCACCACCCCAGCCCATCATCTTTGTATTGAGTCCTCCCACTTTAGTGTAGTCTGATTTATAAATACAGAGCATTCCAAAAGCATAGCCGCCCCAATGCCCGCGGAAACGCGAGTGCTTTCTTCGAGCGTTTTTATCTGGGTTTAGAAAACGGGAGTTGTACATTTTGAAAACCTCCGGGTAATAGACCATTTTTCCTTGATTCGTGTTCTTTCGGCAGCGATCAAAGAACGTAATGTTGACTTCCATGTCGACGTCGCAGAGAAAAGCCAAATCATTCTTCTCTAGCGTCATCATTCCTTGATCTAGAGCCTGAGCTCGTGAGAAGTTACCCTTTCCTTTAACTATGACTATGTTCACTTTGGGCGTGGTCTGTCGTATCTCGTTAATCTTCTCTTCTATGTCGTGGACGTCGTTTTTGCCGAAAATGACCAAAACCAGTCGCAGCTTGTCGTCACGGGAATAAATCTTCTCAAACATCTCGAGGTAGTCGTAGCAACGCTGGGTGACATCGGATATCGGTACGACAATATTAATCAATTCACTTGCATCATTCTTTGACGGTTTTACAGTATAGCCATTTTGAATGGGCTGGAAGATCCTAACACGCTCGTACAGAGCCGCTGAGGTATGCTTCACGTCAACAAATTTCCCATCTATGATGTAATCGTTACCAAAAATAGGATCGTTCTTGACAAACCCATTTATTATCGTACGAAGCTTATATCGCTTTGGGGCATATTTCTTATTTATTTCTTTCGTGGCTTGGTCTGTGGCACGTCTAAACTCTCTTGATAGATATTTAAAGAGTCCAACGTGATGATGAGGCTCTGTAGTCTCATCGTTATAGAGATTATTAGTGTCGAAATAACGCCAGTTGCGATACTGGTAATGATTAATAGGCCGGTATCTGGTCGTCCGACGATACTTGATAAGGTTCTTCTGACTGTCGAGAATACTTTGATCATCTCCTCGTACCAGATCGCAACCAATCTGTACAATATCCTCATCTAAGAGAGCGTTGGGTAACTCCTGACACGCTTCCATCATCATGTTACCAGCTGTATCAGCTTTCAGGGAGTACTTCTTGTATTCGATTGTAGCATAGTAGTAATGGACAGAGAACATCCTCTCAACTGATGAGATGGGATAGAGGGAGAAGGCATTGGTGAGGAGGGAGTCTTCTTTGTTTAAGATGTCAACTAGTGGAATCCTTGTATCATCTTGAAGAAAGAACTAGAGAGAGAGAGAGGAAAGAGAGAGAGAGAGAGAGAGAGAGAGAGAGAGAGGGAGAGAGAGAGAGAGAGAGAGAGGCAGAAGTAAATTGAATGATATAGAATACATACAAATTTACAGGAAAGCAATGCCTTTAGTTAATTGATGCATGGAAATACATGTACAAGCACATGTACATGTACACATGTATCCTTTCGCATGTATTACATGTAATAAGAGGAAAATTAGACACAGATGTTAAAAATACATGGAATACCTCAATTAAGGCTTACATGTAACTTTATAAAGCCACACAAACAGACACAGACAGACAGAATGTGACTAATAGTTCATATCCTGACTGAAAGTGCAACAGTACAGAAAGCGTATAATGAAAGGGAGTCAGTGACCCATTCACATAGTGCAGTTAATAATGTATCAAGTTGTACTAGAGTACAAAGTAAACTTGATCAATATAAGGATAACAAACAACAGTAGGCTAATCCTGTTATGCTCTATATGCTGAGTATGAATAGAATAACAGCTAACAATAAACTGTGCTAGGGTACACACATATATGTACAATGTACACGTATAAACAAATAAATAATAATAATAAACATTATTAATTATACATGCATGTACATGTACTGTATACATGTCAAAATTTCACTTTTTCTCTTTCTACACAGCATAAATACATCAATATGTATCAGAAAATGTAATAAAAACGGGGGGTGATTTCGGAGCCATTTTTTGGAAAAAACCATGGGCTATAGCCTTGGGTATTTTTCAGATTTTAGCTCATTTTTTAAAATGGCCGCAACTCGAAAAATTGAAGTCGGAATCAGCTCAAACTTTCTACACAGCATAAGTACATCAATATGTATCAGAAAATGTAATAAAAATTGGGGGTAATTTCGGAACCATTTTTCGGAAAAAACCATGGGCTATAGCCTTGGGTATTTTTTAGATTTTAGCTCATTTTTTAAAATGGCCATAACTTGAAAAATTGAAGTCGGAATCAGCTCAAACTTTCTACACAGCATAAGTACATCAATATGCATCAGAAAATGTAACAAAAATTTGGGGTGATTTCGGAGCCATTTTTTGGAAAAAACCATGGGCTATAGCCTTGAGTATTTTTCAGATTTTAGCTCATTTTTAAAATGGCCATAACTTGAAAAATTGAAGTCGGAATCAGCTTGAACTTTCTACACAGAATAAGTACATCAATATATATCAGAAAATGTAATAAAAATTGGGGATGATTTCGGAATCATTTCTTGGAAAAAACCATGGGCTATAGCCTTGGGTAATTTTCAGATTTTAGCTCATTTTTTAAAATGGCTGCAACTCGAAAAATTGAAGTCAGAATCAGCTCAAACTTCCTACACAGCATAAGGACATCAATATGTATCAAAAAATGTAATAAAAATTGGGGGTGATTTCGGAGCCATTTTTGGAAAAAACCATGGGCTATAGCCTTGGGTATTTTTCAGATTTTAGCTCATTTTTTAAAATGGCCGCAACTCGAAAAATTGAAGTCAGAATCAGCTCAAACTTTCTACACAGCATAAGAACATCAATATGTATCAGAAAATGTAATAAAAATTGGGGGTGATTTTGGAGCCATTTTTGGAAAAAACCATGGGCTATAGCCTTGGGTATTTTTCAGATTTTAGCTCATTTTTTAAAATGGCCGCAACTCAAAAAATTGAAGTCAGAATCAGCTCGAACTTTCTACACAGCATAAGAACATCAATATGTATCAGAAAATGTAATAAAAATTGGGGGTGATTTTGGAGCCATTTTTGGAAAAAACCATGGGCTATAGCCTTGGGTATTTTTCAGATTTTGGCAAATTTCTTAAAATGGTCATACATGTACATGTAACTTAAAAACTGAATAATAAGTTTCAGCCCATGCAACAACATAAGGACATCAAAGGACATCAATACAATGCCAGTAATCCAGAGAATTTATTATTATTATTATTATTATTATTATTATTATTATTAAACAACTTCACAGCACATACAAAATATACAAGA